GTGGAAAGAGGCAATTGACAGCAAGATCAAGTCCATGTATGACAACCAATTTTGGAGTTTGGTTGGTCAAGAACCTGGTCAAAAGACAGTTGGTTGCAAATGGATCTTCAAGAATAAGACTGACATGGATGGAAATGTGAACAAATTCAAGGCATGACTGGTTGCTAAGGGATGTACTAAAACCCCAATGATTGGCTATGATGAGACCTTCTCACCAGTGGCCAAGATAAAATCTATTAGGATAATGCTTGCTATAGCTGCCTTTCATGATTATGAAATTTGGTAGATGGATGTTAAAACCACTTTCCTTAATGGGAAGTTGGCTGAGGATGTTTACATGAGTCATACATAGGTTTTTGTTGATGTAAAGTTTCCCAATAGAGTGTGTAAGCTTGAGAAATCCATCTATGGATTAAAACAAGCATCTTGCAGTTGGAATCTTTGCTTCCATGAGAAAGTCAAAGAGTTTGGTTTCTCTAGAAGTGAGGATGAGTCATGTGTATATGTCAAGGCTAGTAGAAGTATAGTAACTTTTCTAATATTGTATGTTGATGACATACTACATTTTGGAAATGATTTTCCAACATTGCAAGAAGTAAAATATTGGCTTAGAAAGTGTTTTGCAATGAAGGATCTAGGAGAGGATGCCTATATTCTCGAGCTAAGAATTTTAAGAGATAGAAAGAAAAGAATAATTGGACTTAGTTAAAGTACACACTTAGACAAGGTACAACAAGTCCAACTAGCTTAATAGTGTGTACTGTCGGATATTTCCCTTAAACAGATTTAACGTTTTTTCCCACGGTACAACAACCTTAACAGTGTTACTTGTAACATCCCAATTTTCAAAACCAAAAATTTCATTTTTGATATAAGAATTTAGAAAACCATTTACAAGAAAAAAGCATTGAGTCACATCGTTTCATAAAAAACATAATCACATGTCTCAAAACCATATCATAAAAATAGTAATAATGTCATAGTACAATCCCAAGAATCTCATAATGCGGAAATCATGTGTGTGTGATGCGTTGCTACTGTGCCAGCTCCTTCCCCTTCGATGATGATGTACCTGAAAACAAAAATGAAAACTGTAATCACGAAGCTTAGTGAGTTCTCCCATCATACCACATACCACATAACTAACATACTGCCAGACAATTCTGGGGTGCCCGACCTACCCTGTCAGGCAATTCTGGGGTGCCGACCTATCCTGTCTAGCAATTATTGGGTGCCAACATACCCTGCCTGGCAATTCTGGGGTGTTGACCTACCCTACGGTTTATCTCAATCAGCTACGGGGACTATTTCACCCCTACTACTACCACATAATAACATAGCATACACATACTATCGAGCATATCTGGAGTGCCCAACCTACCCTTCGGTCCTTACGACCATAACACGGGGACTATTCCCCCTACTACCTACTGTCACATAACATCATAGCAGGCTAGCACATAATCATAACAGATAGCAACATACTAGATAATTATCACAAAGACAATTATATATACTATAACTCTTACTAGTGGGCCAGCCTTGGTGCCTTGGACCCACTTCTACTAGAAGGCAACTTACCTCAATGTCGTGAAGTGTCTAAACTGTCCTCGATGTTGGGATCAACTCCTCTCAAACTCCTACACAAAACAACCTTCCTTAATTACGATTTCATAATCTTAACCCTTTCAAGGGTTAACTCAGGTCAAAGTTAAAGTCCAGGTCAACACCTTGGTCAAAGTCAACATCTGGTTGACTCAACTCATTGAGTTAGTCCACCTACTCGTCGAGTTCCCTAATCTGCAAAGTGTTGGACTTCGATCCTACTCGTCGAGTCTTTCAGGATCTCGTCAAGTTCTCCTTCATACATAATCGTGACCTTTTGCTCATGACTCATCGAGTTCATCTTCATGCAAGTTGGCGCGTTTAGTCATGGACTCGTCGAGTTCTTCCTTGAACTCGTCAAGTTCTTCTTCATATAGTTGGGACATTTCCTTGAACTCGCCGAGTGCATCCTTGAACTCGTCGAGTTCTTTGATCTTTAAGCTCATATTCATGTCCATCTTGTTGAGTCCTCTTATAGACTCAACCAAATCGATCAGAAACATAAAAGGTTGGGGAACCATAACCCGACTCGGTGAGTCCCAAGAACGACTCGTTGAGCCCCCAAACTCCATGTCTATCCGGTCGATTTCAGTCAGGCTCAATGCATCCAGAACATAGATCTGACCTCCTAGGGGTCGATATAGCACGTAACGTTACAAACTTTACGTGCATGCATGTGTTAACTAGCTCATAAGGACCTAAAATGAAGTCTACATGATGCATGGGACTCCCCTGGCTATAAAGTTGGCACCTTTATGCCATGGGAACCCTTAAGGGTTCAAGATCTGAATGTACAACTCGAAAGATGAACACCATCCCGAAATTGGCTTCACTATGGCTTAGAAAATGTAGAAACTAGCCCTAAATAGAGATCTAAGAAATGAATAGTCAATGTATCAGCTTTATACCTTAATTGAGCTGGAAATGTGCCAAACCTCTAGATCTACTTGCTTTCTCTTGATCTCCCAAGCCTCCTCTTTCTTCTCAAGCTTCAAAGACACACACAAATGGCACAAAGATCAAGAACACTCAATAATCAATTAGGGTTTCGTGAAGAGAGTTTGAGGGTGATGGAGGCTGGAGTAGAGACCCTATAAGTTGTTTAAATATGATGCAAACCCACAAAGTTAGGGTTTCATCTAAACGTGTCTACTCGTCAAGTCAAGGCTTCCGACTCGACGAGTAGATTCTTCCACCCACGTCCAAATTTCGCATCTACTCTGCGAGTTGGGCCACCAACTCCTCGAGTTCCAGAGTAAAACGCAAAAACTTATATTTAAAAAAATACGTACCGGGAATCGGGCATTATAGTACTGCCGGATATATGCATTTGCCTAAAAGAATCGCCAGAAGTAGGTGTATAGAGAAGGAGGAGGAGGAAGAGATTGCCTGAGAGGCATTAAATACTTAATTAATGCATCAGTTACACATTTCAAACTAGGGATCAAACCTATCAAGTTTAGCAAAAACGAAGGGAGGAAAAGATTTCTTGAAAGGCATTAAATACATAATTAATGCATTTGTTACAAAAATTCAAACTAGCGACCAAAACTGTCAAGTTTAGCAAAAACAAGGGTTCTCCACGAGCCCGAGTTTTCAAAGCTGCGTCTGTGTCCATGTATAAGTTCGGTGATTTTGGTATAAAATTCCAAGATTTCCACCCCCTACGCATGGGTAGGACTTAAAATAAAACCATATACATTAGCGTGTAAGTCTTTCATGCATTCAAGCTTAAACCTAGTTGGGTTTGATCTTTCTACCAATGTAGGACTCATTCTCACATTCATCTATTTTGCTAACTTTATTCTCAAATATCCGTCTTTGAGTATTGATATCTTATTAACATATACTTCATTTTGGACATATAATATATCTTTTCGAAGTGCTCACGAAGGAAAATACAAACTCATTTAAAATTAATTATATATACAACATATGTATATATTCATATATATCCAAAATTAGTAAAAATAAAAATATTAAAATTTTTCCAACAAATTTATGTACCAACATTTGTTTTGTAACACTTAATTACACTACTTATTACTTAAAATGATGTTGATTATCTTGATCTGAAGAAGTTCAAAACAAAGTTATATGATCTAACCATATAACCAACATCAAAACTGTTAGATCAAAATATCTATTAAGATTTATGGCAGTTATTATATAGTTACGGTTATAAAAGTCATGCGTCTTTAACTTATCGGACGAACTCTATCAACAAATAATACTGAATTAGGTTGTTATTTTATGTCAGAATCCCTCGTATTAATAAATAATTATATTATGTTTTGATATTTACCTTAACATTAGTTTGTTATTTAATAAGAAATTGAGACCTTGCATTTGTTTTAATACTATACTATCTTGGAATAGAACTACAAGTTTCTTTTACTTTTATGCCGCAGACATGACATAATGAATTTGAGTCTTATATAACTTATAAAATATATGAAAAATATTGTGTTGTAGTGTTTTAAACAAATTAATATTTTTAAGTTAATAATAAAACTAATAAAAAATTGTGATGAAATCGCAGTTAATTGACAAATAAACCATAAAAAAAATACGTACATATTAATAAAAATTTATATAACAACTTATTATTAATATGAAAATAAGTTAAACTTAAATATAAAAAAACGAATTAAATGCCCAAATTTTAAGTGAAAAATAAAAAATGCACTCATGATTGAGGGTGACATTTACTAGGAAAGATGATAAAGCATTATTAAACAACCGTTGCAAATAATCATTGATCACCGATTAAATTTATCCATTAAATATTGTTAAAACCAAAAGAAGTACTAAGCTTAACAATCATGTGAAACTATAGGCTCATATCATGGATTTATGTTGAATTAAAACCTTTGGATTTAATAAAAATGACCTACACAATCATATTATACCCTTCCAATATGTGCAAGCATTCGCAACAATCGCTAATTACAGTATGAAAATTACAATTAAAAAGATGAAAATCCATGGCTGAAATCTTGAAGACCGAATTTTTCCATATGTTGTAATTCATAATCTGAAATTTGTGGCGTCGGGAGGTTCATTTTCGGCCTTTTTCTAACGGATTCCAAATCATTTAGTTTTTTTTGCATGAAATATAGCAGATGGAGCATCTTTCCTTTGTGCTATTTTCATCCTTTCAATCTCATGTTTTCTCAAACGCGCCTCTTTATCGATCCTCCTTTCACCCTCAAGTTCCTCAATCGTTGTCGGGAATTTATTACGTTGTTCACCAATCAACAAACTTTCACCAGCCACATCATAAAATCCACGTGGCGGCCTTCTCTCCAACGGAATCTCAGCATTGTAGTCGATTCCATTCCTATTCCTATTCCTTTTCCCGTTCCAATTCCGGTTATCAATTCCGACCGCCTTCAATTCTCTCCTCTTTTGCAAACAAGCAACGCGTCTAGCTTCTGTAAGCTGCTTTTCCCGGGCCTTCCTTTTGGCCTTTTTCCCTTGGTGTTGGATAAACGAGCCTGTGCTTCTGAAACCATTTGATTTTCATTTTCATTCATGTCAACTGGGTCGGGTCGGGTGGGTTTTGATTCTGGGTTTGGGTCGATCTCTCCGGGTTGTAGTTTTCTTGGTTCAAAGTTTTCATCTAGAAATTTCTCGTAATGTTCGAGGCACTGTGACGGAGTGCGTCCCACAATAGGAGCGATTGTTCTCCATTGAGAGGGCATGAGCTTAGCAAGATGAAGCAGCTTCTCTTCTTCTTCTCTGGTCCATTCAATCTGTAAAGGTTCCAAAAAAAATACAGTCAGGATTTGATCAAAAGGTTCTACAGAAATAACACATAACAAGAATTTATTTGTAAGTGACCTAACACATACAATTCTTTCGAACAAATTGCATACCTTTTAATGTAGGGATGAAGCCATTCATACCAACGCGCTTTACACTGCGTAACGGATTTATGATCGAGTAATGAAGAGATACGAGACCATTCGTTGGTTCCATATTTCAAAAGAGCAGCCCTGAGGATCTCATCCTCTGTATTCGTCCAACTACCTTCCTTTACCATTATCTTCATCTTCCTCCTCTTTTTCTACCTTTTGATCACTCCCAGATCTATAAAAAGAATTACATATGCAACTTAACGATTAGCATATTCATGTCTCCTCATTACATAATTTACACAGCTTAACAATTAGCATATTCTCATAGACAACAAGTTAAAGTAAAAACAAAGTGTGGCTGTGAGAGAGTCACGATTAAACAAATAAAAAAGCCCTAATCACATGATGGAACACTTATCGTTATCACTCAAGTCAAATTATCGAATTCTTTGACTCTTTGAAAAAGTAGAAAAATTAAACAGATCAACATTTAACGATTAATAAATCAACAGTTATTTAATTAAAGTAAACAAAGAAACTTACATCGGAATGGAATTGTGATGTTGTAATATTTCAGAATTGGGAGTCGCGATTATTAGAAAAGGATAATTGAAGAAAGGCGCTTTGAGAGTGAGCAAGCATTCACAGAATTTATAGACGATCAAATAACCGTTTGTGAGAAACTCAGAAAGAGAAACCGTGTCTTCTCCTAAATCTACTTGCCGAAAAAGCTTCCAAACATACTTGTCGAGGAAGCAATCGTTTTCCTAAATTAGTGAGGGGTGTTTGAAATTGAATAAATCCTGTAATTCCCATTGGGTGAGATTCTTTTTATTACACCATCATACTTTTAAAACAACCTTCTTATCTATTACAGCATCATACTTTCATTTCAACAACATGATATTACAACATCATACTTTCATTTCAACAACATGATATTTATAAGTATATTATGACAAATCTAACTATAGTTTCTTTTGTAGTATCATATTTTTATTTGTTCCTATTATATTTATATCATTCAAAAAAAGTTTTTGTTTTTGTTTTTTGTTTTTTGTATACAATACATTAGGAGCAATGTGGCGTGTTTCTTTTTTAAGAATAGATTATTCCGTCGATTATCTTTTAAGGGAAATCTCCAATAAAGTCCTAAAATTTTAGTCCGATTTATGTTTTAGTCCTAAATTAATTATTGTTTACGAAAAAGTCCCAAAAACCGGCAAAAGTTTGCATTTTGACCCTTTTTCACTGGTTGGAACCGGTAACAAATTAATTTGGGATAATTTCATAAATTGACCCAAAATATTGGGACTTGTCTGCGAAAACAAAAAAAATTAGGGTTTTTCTACAAACAAAAACCTTATTATTATTATTATTATTATTATATTAAAGCTATAAATAAGTATACTATTTTTTTAAATTTGTTATTATTAATATTGTTAATAATACATATAAATACATTTAAATTAAAAAAAATATATTAAAGACATTTTATAAATGTCAAGGTTGAGCGGATACTAATGCTTTAAGCTTTGAAATCATGAATGTTTGTTTGTATATTCTAACTTTGTATATGGTCATTTCACATTTGTTATTATTTTTTTAATTCAGAATATTAACATTTAACAATTTAAAAGAAGCTACTGATTTTTCAAATTGTTTACAAATAGTGAGCATGTGATATGCGTGTATGTCTTGTGTGTAAGTATTTGAATTACCAACATGTGTTTTGCTCTTTTTTATTACTTTATCATTGTGGTTTTTTTGGAAACATAGCAGATATCGTGTGATAAAGCAAAACAAGTCATATTACTTTCTATTAAATAAGATATTTTAATTAATATTTTTGAATTTTGATATGGGCCACCAATGTAAATATTTATTGTGGATCTGTTGGATTTGAAAAGAAATCAATCTACCTTAAGAAATTTTATATAAAAAGTGAGAAATCATTTTATCTTAAACTATTTATACACAATTTTACAAATAGGCAACTTCTTTTAAATTGTTAAGTGTTAATATTTTGAATTGAAAACAATAATAAGAAATGTGAAATGATCATATACAAAGTGAGGACATACAAACAGATATTCATGATTTCAATGCTTAAAGCATTACCATCACCACCGTCTTCACCTTTAAATAATTTCTTTAATATATTTTTTATTTAAGTGTATTTATATGTATTATTAAAAATATTAATAATAATGAATTTAAAAATTAGTATACTTGTTTATATTTTTAATAATAATAATAATAATAATAATAATAATAATAATAATAATAATAATAATAATAATAATAATAATAATAATAATAATAAGAAGAAGAAGAAGAAGAAGAAGAATATGCTTTTTGTTTGTAGAAAAATCCTAATATTTTTTTGCAGAAAAGTCTCAATATTTTTGGGTCATTTTGTGAAATAGTCCCAATATTTTAGATCAGTTTATGAAATAATCCCAAATTAATTTGTTACTGGTTCCAACTGGTAAAAAAGGGTCAAAATGCATACTTTTGTCGGTTTTTAGGATTTTTTTCATAAACAAAAATTAGTTTATGACTAAAACGTAAACCGAACTAAAATTTTAGGATTTTATTGGATATTTCCCTATCTTTTAATAATCAAGAATCATTAATATTATTTTAGTGATTAGTCATATCCATCACAAAAACAATGTATTAATAAATAGTTTATCTTTAGGTTTGGAATTATGTTGATCTTATTACACTTATCTATCATTAATTTGATATCTTATACAATTCTTTCTCTTTATTTCAAGATTTTTTTTATCTTTTTTTTTTTTTTTTTGAAATTTTCGGATAACAAAAAACCCAGATTTATTAATTTTACTTTTCTTACCGAAGCTAGATTGGAAAAAATAGCATCATACTTTAATTTGCAAATGTGCTCTATAAAATATGATATGCTATATTTATGATTTTACTTTAAAAAAAAATATAAGGCTATTTTGGGAAAATTATTCTAAGAACTGGCCCATTGCTTATTATTTTACTTCAAAACCATTATAGTATTTTGGAGATAAAGCATTTGAAAATTAAAAAAAAAGTTTAAAAAAAATGCTCATAAATTAAGCAACAGTTTGTATCATAAATAATAGATTATCCCATTACCATTTTTCAAAACATGTGTAATGAGATTGATTACTTTTTTTTTTGTCAAAAAGCTACAAAATGTTGGAAATTTTAATGAACAATATATTATATCAACTTAAATAATTAGTTACTATAGTTCTTTTTTATCATTAAAATTAACTAATATTTAGCAATTAAAACATACCAATATACATTTCATAACGTGTGAGAGAAGGTGATCCTGTACAAATACATTTTCTCATTAAACTTTATAACTTATTAAACTAACATTAAAAAACAATTTCTTACATGTAGAATGGCTAATGCTTTTTACGCTTACTATATGCCCACATTATCTCAATATTATACTACTTAAAACCAAAGTTCGTTATCATGCTTGCAATTTGCTCGTTTCGTTTTGTCAAAATAGTTTAATACTAACATTTCTTTGATCAATTCCCCGTTAAAAATAACCCAAACCATAAAATAAAAACCAACCAAAAAGCTAAACCTGTAATCTAGAAATGAAGAAATGATAAGATTTTGTTGTTGGTTACTTGAATCCAAACAGTCAGAATCAACCATCTTCAGCCATACCGATGAACCTCCGACACCATCATACAAACCACCGCCACCGTCACCACCAAAACTATGATGATTATTTGAAGCCATTGGTGGTAAGCTACCATCTTCATTGTGTTGTAAAAGTTTTATGTAAGCCAAACCCCTCCTCCGCCTACAGCTCCATCTTTATTACCATTCGTCCATTCCCAAACGTTACCGAAATTTAACATGCCACCGCCATGAGCCACATGTGTTCACCTCTACTAACCATCATGTTTTGGAAATCTAAGGGTTCTCTTATTTCAATATCGTGAGTTTAATTCAACGATTTTGAGTCAAAATCAGAGGCTTCAGTTTCTCTTTGATTGTCATCTAAAGGATTCCGAACGCTTTTTGGATCCTTGGGTATGATTTTTGATGATGATTTTGATATCATTCCGCCTTCTCCGGCTTCCTCTTTGTACCTTTCTTCCATCATTGGCTTCCATAAACGTACTCTTGCATTTATAAACCAATTTGAATCTGTAGCAGGAAACAACAGAATCAGAATCGGAATCCCAAATTCCTAAGTTTGAAACTTTACTATCATAAGAATTAGTTTCAAATAAACGCAAGAAATAGGAAAGTGCCTATATAGAATTAAAAAGAAACAATAAAATTATCCTCCATTGTAAAAAAAGTGAGTAATAAAAGAAAAAAAACGTTAAAGTGTAAATTGACCAGCTCTAGTGAAGTAGAAAGTGAGCATTCTGAAAACGTCAAGGATATCACTAAATCTAAACATGTTTGATACATTCATTTTATTTACTTCTTTTTATATTTTATTATACAATATTTCATTCATAATTTAGCTAATCTCCATGCATACTTTTCTTTGTGTTATTTATGATTATTTCGGGTACTTTTTAGTTTAGTGAGCATAATTGCAAATTTTAAGGTGACTAACGGAGCATAATTTTTGGGAGACACATGAACTTGGAGGACAACAAATAATCATGGACTAGAAGACTAATGAAGATAATGCAAATCATGGGCTTCTTGATTTTCAGAAGGCTTGAAGATGATGGACTTTCAATTTAGAAGAAAACGAAAGAATATTTGAGTATGCTGAGATTATTTATTGGGCGAGTACGTGAGCTATTGGTGATTTGGATAAGCCAAATTGGGCTTAGATTAAAGAAAACTTAAAGAAAAATGGGCTATGAGATTATTAGACCCAATCTGGGCCAGCGTGATAAGGTTTGGAGGCCCAAAACTAAAAAGAACCCACATCAGGCGCCACCCACGTACAGACCTAATCGTTTTAAATTTATAATCTAACTTAGTTTGCTAACTATGTACTTATAGACAATGTACCTAATCAGTTTATAACATAGCTCATGTAAGTCGGGTGTCGATCATAGGGAACAGAATTCAATTAAATACATTAGCTACTTCTCATTAAACTAAGAAACAAACTATGGTTAGGGATTTTATTGATTTTCAAGATCAGAAGAACTTAATATTAACTAGCAAGCAAGCAAGCAAAGAAAACAAATTAACTTCAAGAATCAAAAGAATACGTCTGCCTAGATCTGATTTCATCTTCTGCTATGGTTGATTTCTAATGGATGGATTATATTGATTACCAATTTACTAGCTATTATGATCAAATATATAGGCCTATCAATTTATGAATGACAAGGCAATGACCATGCACAAGTTAAACACCAAATTGATAATAAGCACAAATCGGACTATGAATGATAGTAGTTACTCTCCTATGATCAAGTTGAGCAACCAAGCACAAATTAAAATTAATTATGCTATCTAACATAGTTAAAGTTACATAGCTTTTATTACTTAATAAAATTAATCATGGACTAGAAGACTAACGAAGATAATGCAAATCATGGGCTTATTGATTTTCAGAAGGCTTGAAGAAGATGGACTTTCAATTTAGAAGAAAACGGAAGAATATTTGAGCATGTTGAGATTATTTATTGGGCGAGTACATGAGCTATTGGTGATTTGGATAAGCCAAATTGGGCTTAGATTAAAGAAAACATAAAGAAAAATGGGCAATGAGCTTATTAGACCCAATCTAGGCCAGTGTGATAAGTTTTGGAGGCCCAAAACTAAAATGAACCCACATCAGGCGCCACCCACGTACGGACCTAATTGTTTTAAATTTATAATCTAACTTAATTTGCTAACTATGCACTTATAGACAATCTACCTAATCAGTTTATAACATAGCTCATGTAAGTCGGGTGTCGATCACAGGGAACGAAATTCAATTAAATACATTAACTACTTCTAATTAAACTAAGAAACAAACTATGGTTTGGGATTTTATTGATTTTCAAGATCAGAAGAACTTAATATTAGCAAGTAAGCAAGCAAAGAAAACAAATTGACTTCAAGAATCAAAAGAATACTTCTCCCTAGATCTGATTTCACCTTCTGCTATGGTTGATTTCTAATGGGTGGATTATATTGATTACCAATTTACTAGCTATTATGATCAAATATCTAGGCCTATCAATTTATGAATGAAAAAGCAATGATCATGCACAAGTTAAACATCCAATTGATAATAAGCACAAATTGGACTATGAATGATAGTAGTTACTCTCCTATGATCAAGTTGAGCAAGCACAAATTAAAATTAATTATGCTATCTAACATAGTTAAAGTTACTAGCTTTTATTACTTAATAAAATATATGATTAATCCTATTTCTAATTATTTAATGATCATAAACAATTAGGAAACAAATTCATACAATTAATATGATTAATCATCACACAAAATCTGATTTATAAGCAATATAAACTAGAACTAAATGTGCTAGGGTTTATATATATATATATATATATATATATATATATATATATATATATATATATATATATATATATATATATATATATATATATATATATATATATATATATCAAACAAAAGTAAAATCAAATATAATCATCCAAATGTAGAAATCAACACATATAGATCAAGTTCACCAAACATAAGTAAAATGTATTTAGCCTCTCATTGTAGAAGAAAAACGCAATAGATCCATGTAAATTAAACTAGACATGAGTATGATAAGTAAATCAACTAGATCAATGTGAAAATCTTCTAAATCTTATTAAATCCTTGAGCTCCACTTTGTTTTCTGTAATGTCGTAAATTTCAAAACAATTTTTCATTTAAATATAATGGTTTAATTCTTAAAAAACACTTTTCTTAAAATCTTATTCATGATCAAATGACAAAACATAACTCCATTCTCACTTGCATAATAAACCAGGATCCTCGAAATATAACTCTTTCGCTGGTGTATACAATCAAGTCGGTGCCGTCCCGTGATCCTGTGAGAAACCTAAAACACATAACACAAAATACTGTAAGCACGAAGCTTAGTGAGTTCCCCAAAATACCACATATAACACATATTAGCCACTCGAGGGTATAACTCTGTGGGTCCGTGCACCCAAACTCTGTGAACCCTCAGGTTCTAACTCTGGGAACCTTCCGGTTCTAACTCTGTAAACATGCACAGCATAAATCACATAGAAATAATGCAGTACAACACATAACATACATAGCATACAAATACTCTGTCACATAACTCTGGTTACCTACTCAAGGTAAAGTATAGTGAGAAGACTCACCTGGCAAGCAGGAAGCAGATATCCTCACGCTTGCATCTCGAACTCGCCACCATCTATCACATAAGGCAAATGCTCTCATGAATATAACTCTCGAGACTAGACTCTATCCTCTCTTGGAATCCTCTCAAGGGTAAAAAACCATTTTACCCCCTTCTTGGCCCAAAGACCACATTGTTGACCAACCCTAAAAGTCAACAAAATTCAACGGTCAAACTTTGACCCAACTCGCCGAGTGCACTCCAGTGACTCGGCGAGTACACTCATGTCCACTAATTCTTTGGGATCCACTCTCGATACGCCGAGTGTTTTCCTAACTCAACAGATTCCACCTGGCATGAGTCGCGGGGCCACCACGACTCAACTCGCCGAGTCTCAAGAACAACTCGGCGAGTTCCGGCTTGACTCAGCCCACCCGTCAACCCTCTCTGACTCTCCCTGACTCACTGAGTCAACCCCTTAACTCGGCAAGACCACTCGCTGAGTGGTTATGGACAATCTTCATGCTACTCATCGAGTCTGTTCTTCAGACTCGGCGAGTCTATGCCATGCATCAACTCAAACTCACTCCTGAGGTCAGATCCGTTCCAATAACTCATAGATCCAGTCCTTCCAAGCTCATACATCACGTAAAGTTACTATCTTGGTGCTCATGCAAAGGTTCAAAGGCCTTATTTGAAGATATGGTCTCTAGAATGTTATTCTAAGCTCATGGCCTCCATTAACACTCATAAAGCTTGAGGGAAAAGGGTTTCTGGACCTCTTTGGGTCCTGATCTAAATCATCAACACGAGAAGAGGCCATTTACTCCATGGATCATTCCAAAAAGGCCATAAAGAAACCCTATCTCTAAGATTTACACCAAGGACTGAGAAAGGAACGAATGATTACCTCAAATGAAGTCTCTGAGCTTAGAAATCACTGGATTAGCACCTTCTTTGGTCTCCTCTTTCCTTGGTCCTCTTCTATAAGCAAAACACCCACAAATAATCAAGGATCTTCCTCTTCTCTCTCACAAAACGCTCAAAGACTCTTTAGGGTTCTCTCTGGGGTTGGTGGCCTCAAATGACGACCATAAGCCCCTTTAAATAAGTCTCATACCCTGGAAATTAGCGTTTCATTAAACAGCATGGACTCGCCGAGTCCGGACGTGCACCTGCGCCCATAACCACGATCATACTCGGCGAGTTTGGACTCCAACTCGCCGAGTCTCCTCACAAATCACCAACAAAATACAAAATAACTAATACCTGGGAATCCGGGCTGTTACATTTTCGATCTTCTTCTGGGTTTCTAAGGGTTCTTAGTTGCAATTATCCTAAAAAACCGATTGCATGCCTCTGGATTCCACCTAATGTTTGGGATTTTATAGTTGTCAAAATTGGATCACCACGTCATGGTTGACCGTCACCACGATGTGGTCCTCGTGTTTATCTCGTATCCTTTAAGTCA